AAGCAGAGTGCAGAACCCTCTAAGGCTCTAAAAGGGAGTAAGGAGGCAACATTTTCCCCAAGGATCCCTAATTAGCTCTGAGGAAGCAGAGTGCCCCCTGCCACCCTCCAAGGCTCTAAAAGGGAGTAAGGAGGCAACATTTCCCCCAAGGATCCCTAATTAGCTTGGCTGGATAGGGCAAGGAGAAATGGCACCCCACTGCCAATGTGTGGAGTTAGGCAAATCTGAAAACCTTGGAGGAACTGGATGTTGGAGCTGCCCACCGGCCCTGAGTTAGGCCATCCCAGGCACAGCAGTCCAGCCCGCTCTGAAGAACACACTGTCCACACTTCCCATCCCTGGGTCATTTCCCACTGTTGCTTTATGGGCTACCGATTCTTCTGCCAACAATCTTTCATATGGCCTCTACTCAGCCAAACGGCTTCAAACTCCACTTGCTAAGGGTGATGCAGATCAACCCTCTGATCCTCTCCGAAAAGAGGTACAGCCAACTTTCTCAGATCCATCTGCTTGGTGTATCAAAAAAGTATCTGAATTTAAAGTCTACCAATATAGCATGAATAAATTGTAAAAGAATTACATTATTCCTGAATTATGTTGCTCCTCTCAGAGTATCATAGTGAGAAGTTATATATTATATACACTTATTTTAAAGATGGCTCCAAACCTTATGAAATTCCTTCTTCGCAATGGTGTTGGAAACTTGTGGCACATTCTTGTCCCTGTCTAAGGGTTGGCTCAGCTTCTGTCTGAGCTCATTTCAAACCACACTTCTGCACCATCTCTTTACTTAGGCTTGCTGGCTGGTTTTTTGTTCCTAATATCACCTTTTAACCTCCAACCATAAGACATTTGCACATGGTTTCACAGTACCTGTATGTCTCCTTCCTGACAACTTTCATAGTGGCTATTTTCCTTTTTTTTTTTTTGCTGGCTCCCCCAGTAACCTGCAACCTTCATGATGGCAGGCACCATGTCATTTTTGCTCACCACTATAATCCCAGAAGCTAGCACAGTGTCTGGCACACAGTAGAAGCTTACTAGCTGCTGAAAAAAAAATACTATGAAATATACTCAGTGGTGGAAATGTTTCAGCTTCTGAGAGTGGATCGGCCCCAAATCATTTAAATCAAGGCTGAGGAGGGTTAAGGTTGAGCTGTTTTATTTAAAAAAA